ATCCCAGGGAACCAAGCAGGCAGTAGATCTAAATTCTATACTTGAACCTGATACCTCTGAATTGTTAAATAAGTAGATGGTTTCTTAAACAGGTCTGACCTGCGCAAGTGTGGTGGGCATGTGGCCTGTAATCTAGCTACTTGGAAGCTGAGGTGGAGAGACTGGCTTGCAGCCTAGGGAGTTCTAGACTTAAGTCTGAAACAAATAGCAAGACCCGTCTCACAGTGGGGGGGGGACAGGGGGAAGGCAAACCAAGCGGATATCACAAGACAACTACAGACCAATATATCTTATGAATACAGATGTAAAAGTCCTCAACAAAGCAAAATGAATCCAGCAACATATAAAGGCTTATACACTATTGCTAAGTATGATTTAATCCCAGGGATTCAAGGTTGGTTTAACACTGAAAATCAATTAATGTAATACATGGTATTAATAAAGGATACAAACCACATGATCATTTGAATAGATGCAGAAAAAGCACTTGACAAAATCCAACATGCTTTCATGATAAAAACACTCAACAAAGTAGGAATTGAAGAAAACATCTTCAACCTGATAAAGAATACCTATGTGGGGAATAAAAAGAACACCTACAAAAACCCCACAGCTAAAATCATACTTCATGGAGAGAGCCTGAACGCTTTCTCCCTAAGATCAAGAACAAAACGAGGATATCCACTCTCACCACTCTGTTCAATACTGCACTGAAGGTTCTAGCCAGGGCAAATAGGCAAGAAAAAGAAATAAAAATCACTCAGGCTAAAAAAAAGAAGTGAAACTACCTTTATTTGTAGATGATATAATCTTGTATATAGAAAATCCAAAGAAAATCTCACAAATAAACTATTAGAGCCAATAAACACATCCAACACAGTTACAGGATATAAGCTCAATATTTAAGTAGTAATTGTATTTCTATACACAAGCAATAAGCAATCTGAACATTAAAAGTTTTTAAAAATTCCAATTACAATAGCACCCAAAAAAACAAAAAAAAAAGACTTAGAAAGCCGGGCATGATGGCTCACACCTGTCACCTGTAATCCCAGCACTTTGGGAGGCCGAGGTGGGCGGATCACTTGGGGTCAGGAGTTCAAGACTAGCCTAGCCAACATCGTGAAACCCCATCTCTACTAAAATACAAAAATTAGCTGGGTGTGGTGGCGGGTGCCTGTAATCCCAGCTACTCAGGAGGCTGAGGCAGCAGAATCGCTTGAACCCGGGCGGCGGAGGTTGTGGTGAGCCAAGATTGCACCACTGCACTCTAGCCTGGGTGACAGAATGAGAATCTGTCTTAAAAAAAAAAAAAAAAAAAGACTTAGAAATAAATCTAACAAAAGCAGCGACAATCTTATACTCTGAGATATATAAAAATTGCCAAAAGAAGTTAAAGAAATCCTAACTAAACAGAAAGGCCAGGTGTGATGGCTCACACCTGTAATCCCAGCACTTTGGTAGACTGAAGTGGGTGGACTGCTTGAGCCCAGAAGTTCAAGATCAGACTAGGCAATAAGGCAAAACCTCATCTCTACAAAAATACAAAAATGAGCTAGGTGTGGTGGCATGCACCTGTAGTCCCAGCTGCTTGGAGGGCTGAGGAGGGAAGATCACTTGAGCCTAGTAGGTTAAGGCTGCAGTGAGCCATGATTGCACTACTGTACTTCATTCCAGCCTGGATGACAGAGCAAGACTGCATCTCCAAAGAAAAAAAAAAAAAGGAAAGACATCCCATGTTCATGGATGAGAATGGATCAGAAGATATAACACTGTTAAAATAGCAATATTCCCTAAATTGATCTACAGAATCAATGCAATCCCAGTATACCCAAAATAAATTTGAATAGGAAAAACAAAGTTGTAGGACTCACACTTCCTGATTTGAAAACATAATTCAAAGCTACAGAAATCAAGACAGTGTGGTAGTGGCATAAGGATAAACATACAGATCTATGGAATATAATTGTGGGTTCAGAAATAAACCCTTACACTGACAGTCAATTGACTTTTTGACAAGAATGCCAAGACAATTCAGTGGAGGAAAGAATGGTCTTTTTAAGCCAAGTGCTGTGGTTGACACCTGTAATCCCAGCACTTTGGGAAGCCGAGGCAGGAGGATAGCTTCAGGCCAGGAGTTCGAGACTAGCCTGGGCAACAAAGCCAGACCCCATTTCTACAAGAAACAAACAATGGTCTTTCCAACAAACCATGCTGGGACAACTGAATATGGACATGCAGTAGAATGCAGTTGGACCACTGTATCTCATACCATACACAAAAATTAATTCTAATTAAATTTAAACATGGATTACAGACCTAAATGTAACAGCTAAAACAATACAATTCCTAGAAGAAAACAAAAGCTAATCTTCATTTCATTTGGTGACTTGACATCAAAACCACATGCAACAAAGGAAAAAACAAGTAAATTTGCCGGGCCGCGGTGGCTCAGCGCTGTAATGCCTAGCATCTGTTGGGAGGCCAAGGCAGGCGGATCACAGGTCAGGAGATCGAGAGACCACGGGTGAAACCCCCGTCTCTACTAAAAAATACAAAAAATTAGCCGGGCGTGGTAGTGGGCGCCTGTAGTCCCAGCTACTCAGGAGGCTGAGGCAGGGAGAATGGCGTGAACCCGGAAGGCGGAGCTTGCAGTGAGCCGAGATCGCGCCAACTGCACTCCAGCCTGGGGGACACAGCGAGACTACCGTCCAATCAAAAGAAAAAATAAAACAAAGTAAATTGGACCTTCACCAAAATTATACATTTTGTACATTAAAGGACATGCATCAGCAAATTTGGAAAACACGAACCCAGATGGGAGAGATACTTGGCAAATCATAGTATCTCACAAGGGGTATTTGTATCTCGTATATTTAGAAGAACTCTTACAACTCAAACAATAAATGAAAGAATCGAATTTTTAAACGGGCAAAGGCTAGCACGGTGGCTCACGACAAGGAGGAGAGAGGATCAGGTTGAGGCAGGATTTTGAGACCTGCCAGACCAATATAGCAAGACCCTATCTCTATAGCAAATAAATTAAAAAAAAAAAAAAAAAAAAGCCGGCCGCGATGGCTCCAAGCCTGTAATCCCCAGCACTTGGGAGACCGAGACGGGCGGATCACAAGGTCAGGAGATCGAGACCATCCTGGCTAACACGGGTGAAACCCGTCTTCTAGTAAAAAATACAAAAAACTAGCCGGGCAAGGTGGGGGCGCCTGTAGCCAGCTACTCGGAGGCTGAGAGGCAGGAGAATGGCTGAACCCGGGAGGCAGAGCTTGCAGTGAGCTGAGATCCGGCCACTGCACTCCAGCCTGGGTGACAGAGCAAAGACTTCCGTCTCAAAAAAAAAAAATTAGCAGGCATGGTGGCCACACACCCTGTAGTCCTAGCTACCCAGGAGCTGGAGGTAGAAGGAAACCTTGAGTCCAGAAGTTTGAGGTTATAGAAAATTATGATTGGGCCGGGTGAGGTGGCTCACAACTATAATCCCAGCACTTTGGGAGTCCAAGGCGGGTGGATCACGAAGTCAGGAGTTCAAGACCAACCTGGCCAAGATGGTGAAACCTGTCTCTACTAAAATACAAAATTAGCCGGGCGTGGTGGCGGGTGCCTGTAATCTCAGCTACTCGGGAGGCTGAGGCAAGAAATCACTTGAACCTGGGAGGCGGAGCTTGCAGTGAGCAGAGATGGCGCCACTGAACTCCAGCCTGGGTGACAGAGTGAGAGACTCCATCTCAAAAAAAAAAAAAAAGGAAACGACGATTGGCCGCTGCACTCTAGCCACAGTGACAGAGCAAGACCTTGTCTAAAAAACAATAGATGTATAAAAATAAAATTAAAATGTGCAGAGAATTTAAATAGACATTTCTCCAAAGATATATGAATGACCAATAAGCACATGAAAAGATCTCATCAGGTTCAGCAACGGTTCAGGCCTGTAACCCCAACACTTTGGGAGGCCAAGGTGGGGGGACAGCTTGAGCTCACGAGTTTGAGACCAGCCTGGGCAACATGGCAAAACCCCATCTCTACAAAAAATACAAAAAAGGTCAGGTACAGTGGTTCATGCCTTTAATCCCAGCACTTTGGCAGGCTGAGGTGGGCAGATCACCTGATGTCTAGAGTTTGAGACCAGCCTGGCCAAAATGGTGAAACCCCGTCTCTACTAAAAATACAAAAATTAGCTAGGTGTGGTGGCAGGCGCCTGTAATCCCAGCTACTGGGGAAGCTGAGACAGGAGAATCGCTTGAACTCAGGAGGCGGAGATCGCACCACTGCACTCCAACCTGGGTGAAAGAGCAAGACTCCATCTCAAAAGAAAAAAAAAGTTTCAAAGATAAAACAAAAATCTTGTTAAAGATAAATACATGAGATGCTAAAGAAATAATCTATTTCTTTAAGTCATGCTATCAATTTGCATCGAAATTTTCATTTCCTATCTGTAGGTGTCGAGGGTCTTGTAGCCATGATAAATGATATACACCTGTTCTGTGCTAACTTTTGTTCCCCAAAAGAGATCTGTAGTACTCCAGGGGGCTGGGCACAGTGGCACCAGCACTTTGGGAGGCCAAGGCCACAGGATCGCTTGAGCTCAGGAGTTCAAGATCAGCCTGGGCACCATGACAAGACCCCGTCTCTACTAAAAATATTAAAAAATAGCCAGGTGTGGTAGTGCACAACTGTAGTCCTGGCTACTCGGGAAGCTGAGGTGGGAGATTGCTTGAGTCCGGGGGTGAAGGGGCTGGGGGTTGCAGTGATCCAAGTGCCACTATACTCCAGCCTGGATGACAGAGGGAGGCCCTGCCTCAAAAAAAAAAAAAAAAGACAGATATGTAGTACTCCTAACATTCAGTACCTCAGAATGTGATCTTAGAGATGGGATCTTCAGGCCAGGCAGCTTCCCTTCCTCTCTGTGTCAGTCTGTCCCACCTCGGCTCGGCCCACCGGAGGCAGAGGGTGCAGGAACCTGGAGGTAGAGGGTGCAGGAAGCCAAGATCCTGCGACTGCACTCCAGCCTGGGCGACACAGCAAGACTCCGTCTCAAAAAAAAAAAAAAACCTTACAAGAAAATGATGCAGGCTGGGCACAGTGGCTCACCCTGTAATCCCAGCATTTTGGAGGCCAGTGGGGTGGATCATTGGAAGGTCAGGAGTTCAATCCCAGCCTGGCCAACATGGTGAAATCCTATCTCTACTAAAAAAAAAAAAAAATACAGAAATTACCAGGCACGATGGCACATGCCTGCAGTCTCAGCTGCTTAGGAAGCTAGGCAGGAGAATCACTTGAACCCGGCAGTCGAGGTTGCAGTGAGCCAAGATTGCGCCATCGCACTCCAGCCTGAGCGACAAGAGCAAACACCCATCTCAAAAAAAGAAAATGCAAGCCACCTAAGAGACAGTTTAAATATATAAAAAGCTAGATGCCAAATAAAACTAGATGGGTAACTTGATAAACAGAGATAAAAAAGCAGACAGCTGACATTATATAATTTCTATTTGCTTCAATATTTACTGGGGAAGATAGAGGGGAAAAGCTATCTAAATTATTCTTTAAAGCATACAAATCTCTAATAGTGAATCAAATGCATCATTAAATTCCTCAAACTGGTATGTCAGATATCAGGTAGTCATGAGACCAAAAATAGTCTCTACGGTTTGTTTTTTTTTTTTGAGATGGAGTCTCGCTCTGTCGCCCAGGCTGGAGTGCAGTGGTGTGATCTCAACTCCACTGCAAGCTCCGCCTCCCGGGTTCATGCCATTCTCCTGCCTCAGCCTCCCGAGTAGCTGGAATACAGGTGACCGCCACCTCGCCGCTAGTTTTTTGTATTTTTTTTTTATAGAGACGGGGTTTCACCGCGTTAGCCAGGATGGTCTTGATCTCCTGACCTCGTGATCCCCCCATCTCGGCCTCCCAAAGTGCTGGGATTACAGACTTGGAGCCACCGCACCCAGCCTCTATGGTTTTTTGTGTTGTTGTTTTTGAGACAGAGTCTCGCTCTGTTGCCCAGGCTGGAGTGCAGTGGCCCATCTCAGCTCACTGCACTGCACTCTGTCTCCAGGTTCAAGCCATCTCCCACCTCACCTCCCAAGTATCTGGATTACAGGCGTGCGCCACCACATCTGGCAAATTTTTGTATTTTCAGTAGAGACAGGGTTTCACTATGTTACCCAGGTGCTTTCTCAAAACTCCTGACCTCAAGTGATCCGCCCCAACTCGCCCTCCCCAAAGGCTGGGATTCAGGTGTGAGCCACCACAACCAGCTCCTTCGCTGGTTTTAAAGCATTTAAGTATAAATTATTAAACTGCAGGACGAAGAACATATTAGTTGACGGTCATATGAGTGACCTTCTCTAAATGCCAAAAGGATAGAACCCACTTTTCCTTATCAAATTTTCCTTGCTCAACTTCTGGCATATTAGGTACTCAATAAGTATGTGCTGAACCAAAATAACAAAAAAATGCTGTCATCAAAGTAACTCCCATCTACTCAGGTAGGCTGCAACTTCAAACTGCCCAAACTAGCAAATCTCTAATAGAAGATGGGATCAGAAGACATATCAGCATGAATAACCTTCTGAGGAAAAGACAACATGGATTCTAAAAGTGGAAATCACATCACACAGTTCACCCAAATTCTCTGAGAAAATAAATATGTGCGGCCGGCACGGTGGCTCATGCCTGTAATCCCAGTACTTTGGAGGCCGAGGCGGGTGGATCTTGAAAGTCAGGAGATCGAGACCATCCTAGCAAACATGATGAAACCCTGTCTCTTTAAAAATACAAAATTAGCCGGGTGTGGTGGTGTGCGCCTGTAGTCCCAGCTACTCAGGAGGCTGAGGCAGAGAATCGCTTGAACCCGGGAGGCGGAGGTTGTAGTGAGCCGAGATCACACCACTGTACTCCACCGGCGACAGAGCAAGACTCTGTCTGAAAAAAAAAGAAAAGAAATATGTGAATACAATTTATGTGAGCTTTCACAAACTCTTGATAAGATTCTAAATTAAAGATATTTTTTTTAAAGACTGAGTGGCCACAGGATGAGAACATTTACTGTAGACTAACATAACTGAGACACAGAAAATTATAGGTAGATGCTGAGGTACTTCCCAAATCAAGGTATAAACAGAAGATTGAAATTTTTTTAGAAACGCTGTATTTAACATTTTAATATATGTGTACAAAAAGTATACAGAGAATTCCCCATTTTGCAGATGGGATGATGAGATTCCTAATAATGAAATCCACACGAGTTGGAAAATAAGGGAACGGAGAGATGGAAAGGGTTTCTAAATGTATTAAATGAGAAACATTTGCAAAAACTAAGATTATATTCAGCTGAGAGAATGCTTGGCAAGTATAAAGCTGTCTAAATGTGAAGGGTTATCTGACAGAAGACAAACCAGACTTGCTCTAAGCAGTTCCTATGTAGACAAAATTCTAAGTGGTAATTCCAGAAAGGCACGCTTCAGCTCAAGCTTTCTAACCTTCAAGACCTAACTAAAAGGTGGTTCTTACCTTGGATTACCTCTAAGAGCCCACTGGAGATATGAGAGTTAAAACATTACATGCAAGGAAATGGCAGGTATGCTACAGCATGGACAAATGAAAAGTAAGGCATTACAGGAAAAAAATCTAAGCTATACTTAAAAGACTTCATCTTCCATCAAAAATATGGAATAATTATAGAATATTCCTAAAGACAATGGATGTTCTATGCAAAAGAGAAAAAAAAAAAAAAAAAAGGAAAGAAAAGAAAGGAGGAGGCAGGGAGGACCAAATCCTATTAGAAAAAACTAAAATCAAAGGTGTCCAATTTTGGCTTCCCTGAGACACACTGGAAGAAGAGCTGTCTTGGGCCAACATAAAATACACTGAACTAACAATAGCTGATGACTAAAAAA